GGCCCGCTCCGCCCCCCCACCGGAATGACTCAGGGAAAGCGGCCGCGGCCGGGGCGGCCCGGGGGGTCCCGTGAGGGTGCCGGGAGGTGCCCGGGGATGTCCCGGGGCCGCCGCCGCCGCCGTTCTCACCACACCATGGTGCTCTCCAGAACCATCGCGGCCCCTGTTCGCGGCCCTCAGCGCCGGCCTGCTCCCCGCCCAACAACGCGCCCGCTGATTGGTCCAGAACCCGCGGCCAATCGGCGCGCCTCGTCTATGCGGGGTGCGCCGCGGGGGATGGTGGGAGTTGTAGTTCTGGGCGGGGCGCAGCGGCGGGGAGGACACTCACGTGTCATTGTCACCAGCGTCCCCAAAATCCTGGGTCTGTCCCCTCCCTCCGCCACCGCCCCGTGTGGTCTGCAAGGAGCTCTTGTGTCCCCATCCCCCGTGACACCACTCAGGACACCCCACGAGGATCTCCTGTCACCTTGTGTCCCCCCAAAGCCACCCCAGGAGTGTCTCCATGTCGCCTTGTGTCCCCCCACAAAACCACCCCATGACTGTCTTCTGTCCCCATGTCCCTTGTGTCCCTCCAAAACTACCCCAGGGGTGTCCCCTGTCCCCACGTGCCCATGTTTGCTCTGTCCCCTTATCTATCCCCCACCCAAAGCCACCCCAGGGTGTCCCCATGTCCCGTTGTGCCCTGCAAAGCCACCCAGGGGTGTCCCCATGTCCCTCCTGTCCCCTCCCGTCCCCCCAAACAGAGGCAGAGCCRTCGGTTCCAGCAGCACCCACAATGTTCCGGTGGCCCCGCGGTGGTGGCACTGGCCCGGGGGACACCGGGAGGGGGTGACAGAGGTGACAACGGCCACGGGGGGCACGGGGGGCAGGGAACGTCCATCCCGATCCAAGGAACGTCCAGGGAATGTCCATCCCAGTCCAGGCCGTGTCCATCCCAGTCCAGGGAATGTCCATCCCAGTCCAGGGAATGTCCATCCCAGTCCAGGCCGGGCCCATCCCAGCCCAGACAGTGTCCATCCCAGTCCAAGGAATGTCCATCCCAGTCCAAGGAATGTCCATCCCAGTCAGGGAAAATCCACCCCAGTCCAGGCCGGGTCCATCCCAGTCCAGGGAATGTCATCTCAGTCTAGACTGGGTCTATCCCAGTCCAGGCCGGGCCCATCCCAGTCCAGACCGGGTCCATCCACGATTCGAGGTCCCGGTGCCATTGGCTCTGTCCCCCCCTGGGTGGCCCAGAGGTGACAACGGTGACAATGGTTCCAAGAGGAACAGGAAAATTCCACGAATTCCATTCCCATTCCAGGGAAATTCCATTCCAATCCAAGAAAATCCCATTCCCAGTCCAGGAAAAATCCATCCATGATCCAGAGCCATTGGATGCTTCCAGGGGACATCGGCTCTGTCACCCCTGGGTGGCCCAGAGGTGACAACGGTGACAATGGTTCCAAGAGGAACAGGAAAATTCCATGAATTCCATTTCCATTCCAGGAAAAATCCATTCCCAGTCCAGGAAAAGTCCATCCATGATCCAGAGGCGTCGGATGCTCCCTGGGAACGGCGGCGTGGGTGGCCCAGAGGTGACACCGGTGACAATAATTCCAGCAGGAACAGGAAAATTCCATGAATTCCACTTCCATTCCAGGAAAAATCCATTCCTATTCCAGGAAAATTCCATTCCCAATCCAGGAAAATTCCATTTTTCCAAGCAAAGTCCGTCCATTCCCCGGAGAGGCCAAATTCTC